ACAATTTTCATTGCAGAGTCGTCGGGACATGATCACACGTCATTTGCGCACCCATGTCCGTCCCGATGGCACCTCTTTGGACATCTCCGTTCCGATCGCTCAACTCTCATTGACACCCTCGATATCGCCGGTACCGTCGAGTTTCGGATCAACCTCACCACAACCGAATGGCGACATCCATCACTTACTTGGTGCAATGGGTGGAAATCCAGATGGTTAGTTACCTCCAACACATTTTTCATGTTGAGATTTGGGACAAAATCAAAATTTAGCCTGCGACGACATATAGGCGGATGTGTGGCGCCTTTTTCCTAATTTCGAGAAATTTCTAATCTCTCTGTTAGACGAGTGAGAGGAAAGGTTCAATGGTAGAATATTTATCATAATAAAAAACAGAATACCCTGATTGCGAGTTGTACAGAACTAACAGTGAGAACTAAGTCCCACCCCTAAAGAGTGGGGGTGACCGCGGATTGTGACCTATGCCAGAACACTCCCGCGTCCGGCCACAACAAATTAAAATTTATTTACACATCAAAACCAAATTATTTTTCTTTCTTCAAAGTGTCAGCGCGTTGCCCATCGTCCTCATGGTCGTCGTTTGAAACCGCCGCCTTGTCCTCGGTAGGCGCACAGTAGCACATTGGGTGGTCTTCCAGATGCTGCGCACTGCACTCCACAGTCGTCGTCTTCATGTGCAGGTTTGAAGCAACGACCACAAAGACCAGCTTCGCAACCGCTTCGGGGAATCGGTTGCACCGCGTCGTATTGTGTCCGTCGCGGTTATCTGCCACAGGGCAGAAAATGCAAGAGGATCGCGGCTCTGACCGCTTCAGCAGTTCGTTGACGGCTGCCTCAAGACTGTGCAGCCGCCCAACTACGTGCTCTAGGGCCGCCATAATATCGGCGTTGGACGGAGACGATGCGTTGTCGGTTTGGTCGAGCATAGCGCTGACGTCTGATAGATCCGTGTGCTGACTTTTGTGGTTGCCCCGTGCTTATATACGGGATGACTGCGGGCCCTGGTCTATTGCAGGACATAGCCAGCCAAGCAGAGATATAGAGTGTGACCATAACTTAGCACCTTACCCAACTAGAGGAAACAGCTAATTTCTATGGGTATATGCCTGTAGGAATTAGTGGGTATACCCATAGGTATATAAACCATAGATATAGTGGGATATAGTTAGGACTTTGCACTATACTTTGCACATTATACCTAATTGGGATGACTTTGCAATCCTGAGTGGACCCTTTATCTAGCTTGATTGTCGAGGGTTGATGGCTCCAACCCTGTGAAAATGCTCTCGAAAGCGATCTGTACCAACTGTCCAGACTAGTTAGTTCTGGGACCAATCCGATAGGGAGACTTCGAAAAAAATTTTGAA